CCACCACAAGCCTGACCACCCTTAGCCAAAGCCTTCTGCAAATTCGCCCCCTGTGATTCTTAAACTGTTTGACCCAATTACAGGTAGTCCTTGGTTAACAATGGCAATTGGGACTGGAATTTCCGTCGCTAAGCAATGAGGTCATAAAGCATGACATCACACAACCATGCCGCTTAGCGAAGGCAGTTCCAGCACTTCTGGTTGTTAAGCGCGATGTCACATGGTCACCATTTGTGACCTCCTGCCTGTGACTTTGATTGCTGGAAGCAGCACTGACGGTTGCAAATGGTGATCCCGTGACTAGGGGATGCTGGGACGGTCAGAACTTCAAAGACCAGTCAGAAGTACCCCTCATTCAGCACCGTCGTAAGTTCAAACAGTTGCTGAACGAGTAGTCGCAAAGCGAGGACCACCTGTACCCCTTTTTCTGGTCTCAAATAATGTCATCACCCCTACCAAAAAAACAAACCAGACTCTGTTGTTTTACACAAGTGTCTTGGCAGCAGCAGTCCCAAACTGGATCCTCAATTCCCAAATAAGCACTTACAAATTGCTCCCTTGATATGCCCAAATGACTCCCTTGGGGTAATCGCCCCCCAGTTTAAGAACCACTGCTCTACACTGAGCCTCCTTCTTTGCAAATTAATCCCCTCCCCGAGCTTTCTTGGGGCTTGGGAGTTGCAGATTCCAAACCTGAAGTCCTCCAACTGCTGGGAAATCTCCATTTCTTGAAAGGACTGGATATCCTGCAAGTATTTTTTCTGCTGGTCTTCTGGGATAAGATCAGGCCTGTTTCGGTCTACAATCAGAAGGGAAGAGAGCACCTAAGCGGGACTTGAGCCACGTTGCAAAACTAGGCATGCGGTTGTAAGAGACTTCAGGAGCCAAGAGACAAATCTGGTTTAGATCTCGAGGCATATTTAGTGAGTGAGCTAGAATTTTCCCAGCAAACTCAGTAGACTTTACACTAGGCCAGTGTTTTCCAACTGTGGCCACTCTACGATGTGTGGACTTCAACTCCCAGAATTCCCCAGCCAGCATGGCTGGCTGGGGAATTCTGGGAATTGAAGTCCACCCATCTTAAAGTGGCCAAGGTTGAGAAACACTGCGCTAAGCTGACCCCTTCCTCCTAACACAAGGATGGACACTTCACCTTTTTAAGGAAGGGAAGACTTGTGGAGAAGAGGCATGATACCATACCAGCATGGCTGAGATTTGCAGGTTTTCAATGAGTTTTAGAACGCTGATTTGTTTTTTAACCTTCTGTAACCTTATTTTAGGCTGCATACTACAGTTTTCTTGCCTATAAATGGCATCATCATCATCATCATCATCATCATCATCATCAAACTTGTACGCCACCTGACTCTCAACAACTCTGGGCAGCTCACAACAAAGAAATTACAATAATATCAATAAAAAATATAAACAACGGCAAGTGCTGTGAAGCGAGGATTCTTACTCTCCCTCGCCGAAGGCCTGGGTGAAGAGCCAGGTCTTCACAGCTCTTCTAAACAACATCTGGATCTCAGGTGGCGTGAAACCTCACAGCCAATTTTCAGCAGTCATGGTTAAAGGTGGCTTTGGGGGCAAGAAAAAAAGAGTCTCAAGGGCCATATGCATCTGGTGACCCCAAGTTCCCTAGCAAAAGCTCGCAGAATTCTGGCCAATCTGACACTCAAATAATCCGTTTCCCACACAGATTTTGCACGGCTACAATTCAGAAAGTTTTCTGGCAGAGATTTCCTCCTGCTTTGTTCCAATGCTAAATTTGTCCTGCCACAAGAGCACCCACGAACCATTGCATCACTCTGGACTTTCTTTTATGGTTAGTGGCCTTCCCATCCAGAGGGATATTTTTGGTGCTATATTTGTACAAAAAAAAAAAGAAAAGAAAAGACATGCACAAAAAGAGAGGACATGACATAAACCTAGAATAAATCTCCCCAAAGCTCTCCCAGCTGCTCTGGCAACTGGCCTGCAGGATAAATAGGAGGGCTGGCCTGCTGTGGCGACTTGAGAACCATTGGGGGACGTGGAGTCTGTTCCAAGGGGAGGGACCTCCGCTGTGATTTTGTGCAAACGCAGCAGAAGCAAAGGCAAATTGTTTGCAGCTGCTTAGATGCCACGGTCCCTGGCCTGCTCCCATGAAGGAAGTTGTCTCTGGAGCAGAAGAAACCTTCTTGGAATAACAACGCAGTCATTTCTGGGGAGGCAGACATATAGTCTTCTCCAACCCACGGGGGAGGGAAAAGAAAGAAGATGGTTCTGGATTTGAGACAGTTGCTCTCCTCCATGAGATGCAGAATACGGTGATCTGGTCAGGCACAGGAGGTGTCTTCAGATCAAAAGCCGACCAGAAAGAAAATGGGAAAAATATTAGCTATTAGTTATGGCAGTGTTTGTCAACCTCGGCAACTTTAAGTTGTGTGGACTTCAACTCCCAGAATTCCCCAGCCATGCTGGCTAGGGAATT